CGGGAGGCTGAGGCAGGAGAATGGCGTCAATCCGGGAGGCGGAGCTTGCAGTGAGCTGAGATCCGGCCACTGCACTCCAGCCTGGGCGACAGAGCGAGATTCCGTCTCAAAAAAAAAAAAAAAAAAGAAACTAAAAATAATGCAACTATTTGTCTCTCTACCTGTCTACCTGTGACCTGGAAGTCCGCGCCCTCCTTCAAGTTGTCCCCGCCTTTCTGGTCGGAACCAATGTACTTCTTACATATATTCACTGATGTCTCATGTCTCCCTAAAAGGTATAAAACCAATCTATACCCCAACCACCTTGGCCACATGTCGTCAGGACTTCCTGAGGCTGTGTCACAGGCATGCTTCCTCAACCTTGGCAAAATAAACTTTTTTTTTTTTTTTGAGACGGAGTCTTGCTCTTCGTCCAGTCTGGAGTGCAGTGGCGGGTTCTCGGCTCACTGCAAGCTCCGCCCCTCGGGTTCAAGTGATTCTCCCGCGGGAGCCCTCAAGGTAGCTAGCATTACAGGCACCGGCCACCACGCCCAGCTAATTTTTGTATTTTTAGTACAGACGAGGTTTCACTATGTTGGATAGAATTCCTCCATTTCTTCCATCTGCAGGGCACTCACCTGGTCCATCAACTCATCTGAATTATGCCGGTATATTTTCCCCCATGCTCACTGCCTCCTCATTAACCCAGGAGTCTGTTCTCCAGTGTGCAACCAGATAGGTCCAATGAAGATCTGGGTTAGACCACCTCTTTCCCCGTCCAAGCATCCCAGAACCTCCAAAACAGATGCTCAGCTTTTCAGGCAACCACATTACAGGCCTGAATCTTGACCCTTGGCTTTTTGTTCCTATGAGAAAGAATGGATGCCTGCTGTACATAGGTCCAAACTCAGCCATACCTCAAAGCATTTCACAGACTGGTTCCTAAAATAGCTTTCTACACCTGTTTCCATTGGTTGCCAGAAATAAGAACACTTCCATTAATCCCTGGCTGGCACTCAGGACTCTGAGCTTGGTGTATCCACAGGTTCCCCACTCCCAAGAACTGGGAAAACATCAAGTGAACATTCAAGACACCATAATCTCAGACAACACACAGGTAGTGTCAGGTTCAGGGAGAGACCGGGACACTTTCTCTTTCCCTGTGTTGGCACCATAAGCATTTTCAGTCTTCATATCCCATGAAAAGAAGAAGGCAACTGTGACCAGCTCCAGCTGATCAAACCTTTGCTGATCCCTACACAACCATAAAGCCAGGGGCCCTGGGCTAACTGATTAACCGATTTCAATTCTCAATGCTCCTTCTTACCATCTGTGACCTTGAATGAAGACTGCCACTTCTCCGTGCCTCATTCTCCTCATCATCCTCATTCCAGTCTGTTCTCTGAGAGGCTTTTGGAAACTGTTAAAGTCCTACCAAGGACGTAACCCTCTTTCTGTTCACAACCCTCCATACATCCCAGGACACTCAGACTGAAGGCACAACCCCTAAGACAGATGTGACTCTGGCTCATGTTCAGGTTTTACTTTTTGAGAGACGGGGTCTCACTATGTTGCCCAGGCTGGTCTTAAGCTTCTGGACTTACATGATCATGACACAACATGGTTAATAGGTTCTGAGAAGTTCATGGCTCAGATGCACCTCTAAGCCTTTGCACCTGTTGGTTCCTCCACCTGTATTAGTCTTCCTGGGGCTAAGTCTGTAATACACAGCATTTACCTGAGCTAGGTCCCTCAGTGTAGCTGCTGCCATCAACTGTGGGTGGAGCAGGCATCACTCCACGCAGTGCCTGTGAGCCTCAGGCCTGCCACTTGGGAGCAGAGATGACTCCTCCTCTTGTGCCTTCTCAGTCCCAACCGAGTACTCCCTGGCCTGACAAGCATGCCCAGAAAGCCCTCATCCTGGGCCTTGCAACTAGTGCCTTCTGGGAAAAGTATTTCCCAGAGCTCTCAGTCAACAATGGTGGGATCCTCCAAGACCAAGCAGAATGCAGACCATGTGACACTCTGAGGGCTGCTGGAAAGCCCTATTCACACCTCAAGGGAGGAAGGCTATTGATTCCTTGTAAAAGCATCAAATAGGTATCACATCAGACTCTAGAAAGCTCATCCTGCCCCCAGAGAATAAAAATACTATTTGAGATGCTCCTAAACTTTACTTATCTAAGTGGCCATATCATTGGCATCATTCAGACTTACAATGTGTGCACCCAGAGCTGAGAATATTAAGTATTGATTGCTCTTTAAATTCATGTAGACTGAATCATTATAGTCAGTTTAGTCAGTTTCATTGTTTTGTTGGGAACAAAAGAAAATTCTCCATAAGACATAATGACAGGATGCTACAAAAAACAGTGAGAAAACATGAATAAGACTTAATATTTGCTACCATAACAGAGTGGCTATAGTCAAAATAATTTAATCATACATTTAAAAATAAAAGAGTATAATTGGATTGTTTATAATATGAAGGATAAATGTTGAGGTGGTGGAGACCCCATTTACCCTATGTGATTATAACGTATGGCATGGCTACATCAAAGTATCTCATGTAATCTTCAAATACATACACTACCATATACCCACAAAAAATAAAAATAAAGGCCAGACACCGTGGCTCACGCTTGTAATCCAAACACTTTGGGAGCCCAAGGCGGGCGGATCACCTGAGGTCAGGAGTTCGAGACCAGTCTGGCCAACATGGAGAAACTGCATCTCTACTGAAAGTACAAAATGATCCAGGCGTGGTGGTGCATGCCTCTAATACCAGCTACTCGGGAGGCTGAGGTAGGAGAATCACTTGAACCCTGCAGATGGAGGTCACGGTAAGCTGACATCATGCCATTGCACTCCAGTCTGGGCAACAAGAGCGAGACTCTGTCTCAAAAAATAATAAAAAATAAATAAATAAATTGCTGGGCATGGTGGCTTATGCCTGTAATCTCAGCACCTTGGGAGGTGAAGTCAGACAGATCACGAGGTCAGGAGTTGAAGATCAGCCTGACCAATATGGTGAAACCACGTCTCTATTAAATATACAAAAATTAGCCCAGTGTGGTGGCAGGCACCTGCAGTCCCAGCTACTCGAGAGGCTGAGGCAGAAGTATCACCTGAACTCGGGAGGCTGAGGTTGCAATGAGTTGAGATCGTGCCACTGCACTCCAGCCTGGGTGACAGAGCTAGAATCCTTCTCAAAAATAAATAAATAAATAAATAAATAAATAAATAAATAAATAAAATAATAATAAAGATCTAATGAAAGGGAAATAGACAGATGTTGGTACACCCTGAAGCAGGTAGTGAAGCTGGCAGTTGGCCACTGGTTCCCACAGAAAATTGTTCTACTGATGCTAGCAAACCCCAGAATTGGGGCTCAATCCAGGAAGGTTCTTGGCTTCATAAAGGAAATAATTCAAGAGCAAGCCAACAGTGTAAAGTGAAGGCAAAGCAAGTTTATGAGAGCAACAGAGTACAGGAAAATGGCTGCTCCACAGACAGAGCAGGGCTACTCCACAGGCAAAGTAGCACCCGTGGATTGTTGGCTACCTATATTTACAGCTACTCGTTAATTATGTGCTAAATAAGAGGTGGGTTATTCATGTATTTTATAGAAAAAGACGGGGGGGGCGGGGGCGGGGGGAGTTCCCAGAACCAGGGGTTCCTTCTCTTTTAAATTACATGCATTGCCATAGCATTTGTAAACTGTCGTGGTGCTGGTGGAGTTGTCTTTTAGCATGCTAATTCATTAGAATGAGCATATAATAAGCAATGAGGGTAACTAGAGTTCATGTTCATTGCCATCTTAGTTTTACTGCTTTCAGCTGGTTTCTTTATTGCATCCTGTTTTGACCAGATCCTGTTTCATCATGAGCAGGGTCATGACCAGTGCTTAGAAAACAAGTCCTGATGATCTATGTCACTATGAGGATCACTATGTCAATATGTTTCTTAATCCACATGCTAAGGTGTACTCAATTTCCTTATCACACTGACATCTGTCTCAAAGGAAGAGCAACTTAACCAATGCCACTGTGGTACACATCAGCGGCTACAACTTTCACAATTAAAGCACAGGTAAAAAAAGGCCATCTGAATGATAGCATAAACATGGCATCTGAGCTCCAAAATTTCATCTACTTACAAGAAAGTGGTTATTATTTTCCAGTGATTGCAGGAATAGTTTCACATTGGGAACTGGGATTATCTCAGAATAAATGTTTTTATTTTATTTTTATTTTTTGAAACAGGGTCTCACTGTGTTGCCCAGGCTGGAGTGCAGTGGTGTGATCTCAGTTCACTGTAACCTCTGCCTCCCAGGTTCAAGTGATTCTCCTGTCTCAGCCTCCTGAGTGAGTAGCTGGGATTAAAAGCATGTGCCATCACCCCTCGCTAAGTTTTGTATTTTTAGTACAGATGGGGATTCACCATGTTGGCCAGGTTGGTCTCAAACTCCTGACCTCAAGTGAACCGCCCACCTGGGCCTCCCAAAGTGCTGGGATTACATGTGTGAGCCACCGCGCCTGGCCTCAGAATCAATTACAGGTGCGGTGGCTCATAGTTCAGGCCTGTAATCCCAGCACTTTGGGAGGCCAAGGCAGGCAGATCACTTGAGGCCAGGAGTTTGAGATGAACCTAACACGGCGAAACCCCATCTCTACTAAAAATTCAAAAAACAGCCAGGCATGGTGGCTCACACATGTAATCCCAGCTACGTGGGAGGCTGAGGTGGGAGAATCGCTTGAACCTGGGAGGTGGAGGTTGCAATCAGCCAAAATCACACCACTGCACTCCAATCTGGTCGACAGAGTCTTAAAAAAAAAAAAAAAAGTAAGCAGCAACTCAAATATCCATAAATGGATGAATGAATGAATGAATATACAATGACATTTCATGGCAGACTATACTTCTCAGCAATATAAAACAAATGAACAACTCATATATCTACATTGACATCAAAATAAGCATGATGCAGGAGAGCACCCAGGGATTATAAGAGGAAACACTTTATTACATCAGTCAGAAAATTCCAGAAAATGGAAAATTCTCTATTATATAGCAAAGTAAATCAATGGTTGTTTGGAAAGCAGAGAGAAAAACTTTATAAAGGCTCCAGGTAAATACAAAGGTGATAGATTAGATAAATTCATTATTGTGATCCTGATGATAGTTTCATGGGATTATAAGAAAATTCAAGACTTATTCTACAACTCAAATATGCATATTTTATTGGATGTCATTTATATCTTTATTTTATTTTTGAGACAAGGTCTCACTCTGTTGCCCAGGCTGAACTGCAGCATTGGGATCTTGGTTCACTGTAACCTCTGCCTCCCAGGCTCAAGCAATCCTCCCATGTAGCTATGACTAAGGTACATGACACCATGCCTGGCTATTTTTCCTAGAGACAAGGTTTTGCCATGTTCCCCATGCTGGTCTCAACTTCCTGGGCTCAAGGAATCTGTCTCCCTCAGCCTCCCATAGTGCTGGGAATACAGGCATGAGCCATGACGCTCAGCCTATACCTTATTACAGCTTTTATCATATAAGAGAAAAATACAGATTTGCCACTATTTTTGGTGACAGGTTTGGCAATTCTATATTGACGCTACCAATTCTTCTCATGCCCTAAGTGGGGAAACTAGCCTCCATAGAAGCAAATATTGATGTAACAAGAAGGTTATTTCTACCTGATTAAACTGGATCGCAGGCTGGTCACAAAGCTACATCACTGAACTGAGTTCTTTTTCCCTATCCTGTTCCTCCTGTTAATACAAGAGTTACTTTAAGGTGACCAGCCCAAAAGGTCACATGAATCCACAAAACCTTTAGATTATTTCCTCTGATCAAAGCTTAGCTACCCAACATTCATCATTATGGAAGTCCTGAGAGAATTTCTGTATCTGCTTATCCATCACAGACATAGTGACTGCATAACTGTGGACACTCCTTTAAAAGCCATACATTTCAGCCGAACACAGTGGCCCACACATGTAATCCCAGCACTTTGGAAGGCAGAGGTGAGCAGATCACCTGAGCTCAGTAGTTGAATTCGAGACCAGCCTGTGTAACATGGTGAAACTCGTCTCTACTAAAAATACAAAACATTAGCTGGGTGTGGTGGCATGCACCTGTCATTCTAGCTACTTGGGCGACTAAGGTGAGAGAATCGCTTGAACCCAGAAGGCACAGGTTGCAGTGAGCCAAGATGGCACAACGGCACTCCAGCCTGGGTGACAGAGTGAGACTGTATCTCAAAAAAAAAAAAAAGGTGCATTTCAAAAACTTTGTTGCTGTCCCCTCTGCTGACTATAAATGCAGTAACTAAGTAACCATAAAATTATAATTTCACCCTGTAACCTTACAACCTGTGATGTTGCTCTATAGAATTCTGGATATCAGGGCACATGTGTGCCTTGTAAGATCTGCTGAACAGAGTTCCTTCAACAGTATTGAGCACAATGCAATATACCTCATAAGATAAAATTTTGTCGTGTTAAAAAAAAATCACCAATCTTTCAGTGTGGTATTGACATTAAAATTAAAAAACCACCAGAGGTTGTTATAAAACCTGTCCTGTACCCAGCTGACCTATGAACCCACAATCTGTAGTATCCATGCTACAGATAAAAGACCACAAAGCCCTGAAGTCCTCCTTTGGAGGCCTTGGGCAGCTATGCAAAAAGGCCACAAGTGGAGAAAGCTACATTCTGCATTCATGCAGTCCCCTGAGCCACACAGTTTAGCTATGCTGTCCTTCAAGGTAGCAGGACCCAGGCCGGAGTGCAGTGGCATGATCTCGGCTCGCTTCAACCTCCACCTCCCAGGGTTCAAACAATTCTCCTGCCTCAGTCTCCTGAGTAGTTGGGACTACAGGTGTGCCACAATGCCTGGTTAATTTTTGTATTTTTCGAAGAGACAGGGTTTCCCCATATTGCCCAGGCTGGTCTCGAACTCCTGACCTTGTGATCCACCCACCTTGGCCTCCCAAAGTGCTGGGATTATGGGCATGAGCTACTGCGCTCAACCAAAATAGTCTATCTTTTCAAGTCAGTACAAGAGTCCTGTGGGACAAAAATGGGGAAGGTCTGTGGTGTAACTTAACAGAAAGAAATGAAAAAGCAAGAAGTGCTGAGGCTACTCAACAAATCCTTCTGTGACTAGATCAGGAATTAAAAATTAAAGAAATAAAAAAGCCCCAGCATGCTGACTCACACCATGCCTATAATACCAACACTTTGGGAAGCCAGGCAGAAGGATCACTCAAGATCAGCAGTTTGAGACCAGCCTGTGCAACACAGCAAGACCCTGTCTCTACAAAAAATATAAATTTAAAAACTTTGAAAAAAAGGCTGGGAGCAGTGACTCACACCTGTAATCCCAGCACTTTGGGAGGTCGAGGTGGACAGATCGCGAGGTTAGGAGTTCAAGATCAGCCTGACCAACATAGTGAAACCCCGTCTCTACTAAAAATACAAAAGTTAGCTGGGCGTGGTGGTGGGTGCCTGTAATCCCAGTTACTCAGGACGCTGAGACAGGAGAATCACTTGAACCTGGGAGGCAGAGGTTGCAGTGAGCCGGGATCACACCACTGCACTCCAGCCTGGGCGACAGTGAGACTTTGTCTCAAAAACAAACAAACAAACAAAAAAACCAAAAAACGAACAAACAAACAAACAAACAAAAAAACTTAAAAATTCCTCGTGAATGGGATACAATACAATTCCTCATGAATGGGTACTTCTAGAATACGAAATAGGTGAATGATGCAATGTGGGCACCTACCAAGTAGCTGAGGTGTAATGGCTTTTGCCAGAGAAGTGGCAGTCACATAAATCTAGCAAGGTAACAGGGCATACTAAAAAATATAGTACAGATGCCACATGCCTGGAGTTTTTTCAATCTGGGCACATGGCACCCTCAAAGGATCTCCTCTCATGTTACACAGAAAAGCATAATTGGCAGAGCACTGGCTCAAACCTAGAATCTCAGCACTTTGGGAAGCGGAGGTGTACAGATTGCTTGACCTCAGGAGTTCAATTCTGGCCTGGGAAACACGGTAAAACCCCATCTCTACTAATACAAGAAAATAGCCAGGCATGGTGGTGCACGCCTGTGGACCCAGCTACATGGAGACTAAGATTGGAGGATCACTTGAGCCTAGGGGGCGGAGGATGCAGTGAGCTATGATCGCAGCACTGCACTCCAGCATGGGTGATGGAGTGAGACCCTCTCCAAAAAAATGAAAAATTAACATTCCCTATACATCTACAGTGTTTTTCTCATCTCAGTGTTCTAGGATCCAATGAGAAGGCACAATGCTTTTTTGCAAACATTACACTCAAAAGGCATTTCCATAGTGACAGCTCTCCTGTGAGTTACGAAGCCAGACTTCTGGATAAATGTCCTATATTTGTCACACTTGTAAGGCCTTCATTCAGTGTTAACTATAATCCTGAAGGAATACAGAGGTGTGGCTACAAAACTGCTGAATTTATTTTACTTGTAAGGACTCTTCTCTAGTGTGAACTCTCCAACGTCCAAGGAGAGCAGACTTTCGGGTAAACATTTTCCACATTTGCTGCAATCACAAGATCTTACTCAGGTGTGTACTCTCCTGTATTTACTGAGACTGGACTCACTGCACTCACAAGGCCTTTCTTTCATGAACTCTCTGATGGTAACGAAGTGAAGAGCTTTTTCTAAATTTTTTTTCACATTCACTACACCCATAAGGCTTTTCTCCAGTGTGAACTCTCCTGTGATTAGTGAGACTGGAGATTTCAGCAAAAGATTTCCCACATTCACTGCACTCATAAGGCTTCTGACCAGTGTGAACTCTCTTATGAACATGGAATGTAGAGCTGTGGGTAAATGACTTCCCGCAATCATTGCATTCATAAGGCCTTTCTCCAGTGTGAACCCTCTGGTGTGCAATGAGTTGGTAGTTGTGCCTAAAAAATTTCTGACAAGCCTCACACGCATAGGGCTTTTCTCCACCATGAATTCTCTGGTGTGCAAGGAGGTGAGACTTCCTCTTAAATAATGTTCCATATTCCCTACACACAGAAGGCCTTTTTCTAATATGACCAAGCTTGTGTTGAATGAGGTTACTCTTGTGATTAAAACACCTTCCACATTCTCCACACTTACAAGGTCTTTCTGTGAACTCGCTGATGACTCCTAACGTGCCCTTTTTCATTGTAAGATTTCCCACATTCTCCACACTCATAAGGTCTTTCTCCAGTGTGAATGCGCTGATGGCTCCTGAGGTGCCCCTTTGAAATATAAGATTTCCCACATTCTCCACACTGGTAAGGTCTTACTTCAGCGTGAATGCGCTGATGGTAAGCAAGGCTGCGCTTCTGACTAAAAGATTTCTCACATTCTCCACACTCGTAAGGTCTCTCTCTAGTGTGAAGGCGTTGATGGTTCCTAAGGTTCTGGTTTGAACTAAGAGATTTCAAACATTCTCCACACTCAAAAGGTCTTTCTTCAGCGTGAACTGGTTGATAACGTCTAAGATATACTTCTAAGCTAAAGTATTTCCCACATTATTCACACCCATAAGGTGAACAGGACAGGGATTTTCACAACGCTTTTCCATACAGTGTCTGGAATCTATAGATAACATAACCGGTTCATTCAGGGGTTGATCTTTAACCAGACCCAGGGTATGGCGCCAGCTGTCTGCCTGTGGATTTCATTTCTGCCTTTTAGTTTTTACTTCTTTCTTTGGAGGCAGAAATTGGGCATAAAACAGTATGGGGGTGGTCTTCTCCCTTAACAGCACAAATGCTTAATTAACTTTTCTTTTGAGACAGGGTCTGTTGCCCAGGCTGGAGTGCAGAGGCGCAGGTATAGCTCAGTGCAGCCTGGACCACCTGGGCTCAACCATTCCTGCCACCTCAGCCTCCCAAAATTTGGGATTATAAGCGCGCGCCACTGTGCGGGGTCAGGACTCCTCCCTGAGAGCCCAGGAGATGGAGCTGGGCTTTCCCTTCCGAAGAGCCGCAGGGGATCGCTCTTTTTACCATGTTGGAACCTGGGGAACTACAGTACCCAGAAAGCTCTGCGTCAAATGACAGCACGGCAGAGCCAGTGAGAGCTCAGATTGAAGGCGCTTCCGTATGCGCACGTACGGCAGAGGCGGGACTCCCGGCGCCCTTAGCGGCCATTTCGATTGGCTTTAGGTGTGTTTGTGGAATGAGAGGCCTGGGAGCGCTGTGGAGGGACCGTTGTGGTGAATGGATCCAGAAGGTCGAGAGTCGTTCTTCTCTGCACAGACGTAACTCTGCAGCTCTTTAAGGGCGCCCGCGGCTCTCAACCCAGCTTACCCCACGTGGTCCCATGGCGGCCCCCGCTCTGAGGTTCCCGGTTCAGGTAATTGTGACGCCTTCCGTGCTCTGCGGTCACCTCGTAGTCACACAAGTCCTAAAGCAGCGAGGGAGCGGCACCTGCTCACGGCTCTGCAACCCGGACCTGGCGTCGGGACACTGAGACGCTCTCGGAAGGGATCCCTGTTTCAGACACCGGTGGGATGCGGTGGGGAGAACGACAGGTACAGGGAGGGGCGAGGGCAATGGCCTGGAGATGGACGGATCCGGGAGGATGGAACCTGGGGTCCACAGGCGCCTGTAGGGAACAACCTGTGAGGCGGAACTCCTCCTGGAAAAGCAAAGAGGCTGGGGGCTGTGAAATCATTGCGAGGACACTAGAAATATGGAGAATTTCCAAGAAAGAAGGGACTGGATCAAAGTCCGGGCTTTTAAAGTTCCCCAAGGCCAAATAAAGAACAGAGTAGAGAGAGGATGACGTTGGGGCCCTTTGAGACCGAATCCTTGTAGATCACATTTTGTGCTGAGACACGCAGGTCAGACAACAGTCCAAGGTCACCTGGCTCCATGCACACAAAAGCGTTCAGGGAGGCCTGAGCTTACCAGATCCTATCAGGGACACAGTCCTGTAAAGTCAGCCTCTCCCCTCAGGCCCTTAGGGCTGTAGAAGCATTTAAGGAAGGCATACAAGAAAGTGGAGGGTGTGGCCGGGTGCGGTGGCCCACTCCTGTAATCCCAGCACTTTGGGTAGCCTAGGCCGGCGGATCACCTGAGGTGTTAGAGACTAGCCTGAGCAACCATGAAGAAACTCCGTCTCTACTAAAAATACAAAATTAGCCAGGCGTGGTGGCGCATGCCTGTAATCCCAGCTACTTGGGAAGCTGAGGTAGGAGACTCGCTTGAACCTGGGAGACGTAGGTTTCCGTGAGCCAAGATCGCGCCATTGCACTCCAGCCTGGGCAACCAGAGCGAAACTCCGTCTCAAAAAAACTAAAGAAAGAAAGAAAGTGGAGGGTGTTCTACTCCCTCACTGGTCCTGACTTCTATCCACATGTTCTCTAGCTTGTGGTGGCCTGGGTCTTTTTAAAAATTTACTTTAATATGGCCGGGCGCGGTGGCTCACGCCTGTAATCCCAGCACTTTGGGAGGCCGAGGCGGGCAGATCACGAGGTCAGGCGATCGAGACTATCCTGGCTAACATGGTGAAACCCCGTCTCTACTAAAAATACAAAAAATTAGCTGGTGGCGGGCGCCTGTAGTCCCAGCTACTGGGGATGCTGAGGCAGGAGAATTGCGTGAACCCGGGAGGCGGACCTTGCAGTGAGCCGAGATCACGCCACAGCACTCCAGCCTGGGCCACAGTGGGAGACTCTGTCTCAAAAAATAAATAAGTAAATGAATTAATTTTTTAAACTTTTTTGCGACAGGTTCTCACTCTGTCGCCCAGGCTGGAGTGCAGTGCCGTGATCTCTGCCCACTGCAGCCTCGACTTCCCTGGTTCAGCCTCCTGAGTAGCTGGGGCTGCAGACGTGCAGTACCATGCCCGGCTAAATTTTTATTTTTATATTTTATTTATTTTTATTTTTAAGTAGAGGCGGTGTTTCTCTGTGTTGTCCCGGCTAGCCTCAAACTTATGGGATCAAGCGATCCACCCACCTTGGCCACCCAAAGTGCTGAGCTTACAGGCGTGAGCTAGCACACCTGGCCCTGGGACTCTTAAGTGGTGTTTTTTCAGACATTTGATCTGGGAACCTTGGAGAAACCTGAAGGCCAAGGTCCTAACTCCATGACACGTTGTATGGAGGTATTCCCATTCCAGTGAACCTGTGTAAATACACTTAGAAGGTTAACCCTGTATTTTGTGCCAGGAAGCAAAATCCTTAGAGGTAAGACTGATGACAGCGGGAAGTTGATGTTACTGAAGTTCTGTTTGGCTCCACACTGGAGAACAGAATGTGGAGTTGAGGGAGGAGGAAGGAAGATCAACGCTGAGGCTAATTCCATAATCCAGGTGAGGGTTAATGAACAATTCATGGCTAAGAAGATGTGGCTGGATTCACTATTCACATTTTGCAAAGGGGAAGCTAGATTTTAATATGATGGTAAATGTGTGAAAGAGAGGTTTCAGGTATGACCCCATAGTTTTTGGTCTTAGCAGCTGTACTGATAGAGGCTGTATCAGCTGAGATGAGCAAATTGACAGTAGGCATAACATTCACTGGGGTTATAAGGAGGGTTGTTAAGAATCTGAGATGATTCAGAGACCAGTAAGTAGAGGCAACAAGTCAGTAATGTCCACATAGGTTGGGATATCTGGAAACGAACTGATATTGGGGCCATGCAATATATAGAAATGAACGTGTGGACTAAGGTGAGTTAGCCAAGGGTCACGTTTAGGAGGGCACACTTCAGATTAATGTGGTAAATCTTTTAGCGGGCCAGGAAGCAGTGATTACAGACTGAGGACTGGATTCCTTGCTTGGATCCCTAGCTGACATTATTGTCATTCATAAACACAGAACAGGGAGATAAGTGACAAGGAAGGTAAGATGTATCTGACAGCATACTTTGTCAGGGGACATGGACTTCCATGGAGATAATAGACATGACATGCATTCAGAAGTATAGGAGTAATTGAGGGAAGGTGACACTTAGACTGCAGTTGGTGCTTATTTCCCATTATATGCACTTGCCAAGATTGTGACACAACTATGTTGGTGCCTGGGGAGTTTCATTCACCATGGAGTATATGGTGAGGAGGAAATATGCTCATCTGTGACAGTCACTCGGCCTGGTATGGACGACCAGTGGGGCTTGGCTTTAAATGGTGTTAGGTGAAAACAGGAAGGTCATAATTACTGAGGGATCAGCAAGTGTGGCACAGAAGTGGAATAGCGCCACCGATATCTGAAGTCATGCATAGTTCTGCGTCGCTATGGAGCCGTGCAAGGAGGCCTTCATAGAATCATTTGAGACTACCACTTCTTTTAGGATCCAATAGAAATGGAATTCTGTGGTGATACTGGATCCTGTTTGAGTTGGCCAAGCATAGTCTGGATGGTGTCAGCCATGATGTCATGTGAGCCCAAAAATGAAGGCCCAGTGTGGTTTGCCACTTGGATATCTGGCGATATTGGTATGTCCTCAAATGACCTGAGTGTAAATTTCCTTCCCACTCTACTCTACCGTCTTTTTGTTTTGTTTTGAGACGGAGTCTTGCTGTGTCACCTAGGCTGGAGTGCAGTGGCACAATCTCGGTTCACTGCAACCTCCGCCTCCCAGGTTCAAGCAATCCTCCTGGTTCAGCTTCCCAAGTAGCTGGAATTATAGGCACCCGCCACCAAGCCTAGCTAATTTTTTTGTATTTTTAGTAGAGATGGGATTTTGCCATGTTGGTCAGGCTGGTCTCGAACTCCTGACCTCATGATCGGCCTGCCTCGGCCTCCCAAAGTGGTGGGATTACAGATGTGAGCCACCACGCCCAGTCCTCTATTATCTTAAGTAATGTATCATAGCCTAAGAAATCTTTCCATCAGTGTGACCAGGTAGAGTTCCTGATTATTATACTTTGTAGTGTGTTTCAATTCCATTTCTATAACCAGAGTTATATTAAGAAGCCAGTGGCATCCTCCTGAGGGAATTAGGCTATTACACCCTTTTCATCTTAGAAAGCTTGCATTATACAATTCCTGGTTACTCTCTCTTATCCACAGTGAAACCCCTCTGTGGTGAGTGGTGTCCCTCTTACCAGTTTGTGAATATCTTTTATTTTTAAACTGCTGTTAATGGCATCTGTCAAGTATCAGTTGTCATTTTGCCCCTTTACAATATAACTCTAGCGGGAGATTTCCACCCACACTAGTAGAAGAAAAAGGAGGGCATTAATACTTCAAGTTGTTTAAAGGCTAGAGAGGCCAGTGCTGTGTGGCAGTCAGCTGGGGATGGACATGGATATGTACCTGGGAAGTCTAAAGAATGTGCTTTCAGAGAGGGTATCTCTGCTGTGCTGAAGGTGCCACATTGGGCTCTCCATGACCTTGGCCATTCTAGGGGAAGTGCCTGTCAGGAGGGGGTGAACTTTATGTCACAGCCAACACATAAATACCTATTTGTTCACCTAATTATTGTTGGTGGCTATACCCCATGACCAGTGGGCCTAGTTTCTGCTATGATTTGAGGACCTTGAGAGGATGTGTGAGAGTAGATGTGTGGGAGAGAGGGATTGTGGTA